GAAAGACATTAAGAAAATGGCATTAAAAAGCAAAGATAATAAAAGTTACAGTGCAGTCTAAGATATGAATAGTTCAATTATAAGCAGCGACAAAAAGAAAAGTCTTCTTGCTGGATTTAAAAGTAGTAAGAGTTGCAGCGGACCTGCAGGTTTCTGGGAGTTTGTTCCAGATATTTGGAGCATAATAACTGAACGCTGCTTCTCCATGTTTAGTTCTGACTCTGGGGACAGAAAGCTGACCAGTCCCTGAAGACCTGAGAGATCTGGATGGTTCATCATTTAGCAGGAGGTCAGAAATGTATTTTAGGCCTAAACCATTCAGTGCTTTATAAACCAGCAGCAGTATTTTGAAATCTATTCTTTGACACACAGGAAGCCAGTGTAAAGACTTCAGAACAGGAGTGATGTGATCCACTTTCTTAGTGTTAGTGAGGACTCGAGCAGCGGCGTTCTGAATCAGCTGCAGCTTTCTAATAGATTTTTTAGTGAGACCTGTGAAGACACCATTACAGTAGTCGAGTCTACTGAAGATAAAAGCATGGACAAGTTTTTCCAAATCCTGCTGTGACATTAGTCTTTTAATCCTAGATATATTCTTTAGGTGATAGTAAGCTGATTTAGTAACAGTTTTAATGTGACTGTTGAAACTCAGGTCAGAGTCCATGACTGCACCTAGATTTCTGGCTTTATCTGTTGTTTTGAACATTGCACACTGAAGCTCAGCGCTAACTTTTATACGTTCTGCCTTGGCTCCAAAAACCATTACCTCAGTTTTATCTTTGTTTCATTGGAGAAAGTTCTGACACATCCAGTCATTGATTTGTTCAATGCACTTACTCAGTGTTTTAACTGGAGCATAGTCTCCTGGTGAAATGGTTACGTAAATGTGTGTGTCATCTGCATAGCTATGGTAACTTATTTTGTTGTTATTCATTATCTGAGCCAGTGGTAGCATGTAGATGTTAAAGAGAAGAGGCCCCAAGATGGAGCCTTGAGGAACCCCACATGTCATATTTGTCAACGTTTGTCAAAGTTGTTTCTGTCCTTTAAGTAGGATTCAAACCAATTTAGAACTGTTTCCGAAAGTCCCACCCAGTTTTCCAGTCGGTCTAGTAATATGCTGTGGTCAACAGTGTCAAACGCAGCACTGAGATCTAATAATACTAACACTGAAGTTCTGCCACTGTCTGTGTTTAAGTGGATGTCATTAAAGACCTTTACAAGAGCAGTCTCAGTGCTGTGGTTTGGACGAAAGCCTGACTGGAACACATCCAAACAGTTATTTAAATGCAAGATATTACTCAACTGTTGAAAAACAACTTTTTCAATGATTTTACCTAGAAATGGGAGGTTTGATATGGGCCTGTAATTGTTCATTACTGAAGCATCTCGATTATTCTTTTTTAAGAGCGGTTTAATGACTGCAGTTTTCAGGGCCTGTGGAAAAATACCTGAGTGGAGAGACTTGTTTACTATATGAAGTAGATCTGAGGCCATGCAATGAAAAAGTGGGAAATATCTTTGTACAAAAAACGTCTTAATTCCAATTCATTTTCTGTTCTCATGGTTTCAGTTACTTAAACAAATATGTGGGATGGTTTAATATATATCAAGCAATCATATTTTTAAATATTGTTTGTCAAAATCAGAATGTATCTAGTATATATTAAATAAATCTATAAAATAAATGTAGTGGGATAAAAAGGATAATATTTGCCTCTGAAATATAGTGGAGTAAATGTCTAAAGTAGCATAACATGGAAATACTTTGGTAAAGTACAAGTATCTCAAATGTTTACTTAAGTACAGTACTTGAGTAAATGTACTTAGCGAATTTCCACCTCTGATCATGTAGTTGGAAACATGTGATCAGCAATCTCCAGGTCTCGTAAACAGTAGGAATTAAAAACAGCATGTTTTAAGCAATATTTGATGCTGCTCCAATTACCACTTCTCTAAAATAACACAATTCTGACAGGAAGGCGTTAATGTTGATGTTCTGGGGCTGAGGCCCTGGGACCGTTTATACGTGTCAACCCCTCTATCACCCCCTTCAACAATGTCCCTTCAATAAAGGCACTGGCTGCCCAAAAGAAAAACGCAGACTGTTATCATTTTGCATTGTTACTTATAAAATATAACAGGTTAATACAAAATGTAATAAATAATCTCATCATAAAAAGGGTGTTCTTTATGAAATGCAAATGTATGCTGCTGTATTCAATGATAATCAGTAGCTTGAATGTCAAAGTCCACACTTTTCTATATTGTCAAGTTGCTGGTGATCATATGCATTAGAAATAACATAAGCATAGCCTGATACAAAAATGGATGATAAATTATTCTAACAATATTCCCGGTAAGAAGCCATCCCACCTCTCACACTGACAGAAAATGAAAGAGGGAGATTTCACACTAATTAAGTCCTGCAGGGCTCTCCTGTTTTTCTTACAGCCGTGCATTGTTTCTTGGCAGCTTCCTCATGTTTGCCTGACCTCGTGACCTCACAGCTCCGATGACGACAACAAACAAATGAGCCATCAGTGACAGACTGAGGGAGAGCCAGGACCCTCACATCTCCGAGACCTTCAGGTAGATTTTCATCAACATTATTTGCTTTAGAAATCTCCTGAGAATTACATTTACTAAAACTGGAAATTAACCTTGGCATAATACTTTTAATGGGTAATTTTCACAATTTATTCTACATTGGAACCGTTTTTATTTTCCATCTCAGTGTGATGGGATCAGCTGATTAAGTCAGTTGACAGAAAACTCCTAAATAAAATGTAAAAACATTCTCTGGTTGCAGTTTCCTTTCTGCCTGCCTTTTGGTTTTCTGACAAAGTCATTCAAACGTATTGGTTATGAAATCAGTCATAAATGAACAAGAATTAGAAAGTAATAATTTGTCAAAAATTAAAATGTAAATAAGAAGGAACACAAAATAATGATTATTTGTGTGAAGTATATGCTTGTTTACCTTTGGTAGATTTCTCTCTTACCGACACTTAACATATTTGTACCTCAACATGTTTGCACAAAGTGTGTGTTTAGATCTATCTGTTAAGAAAGTGTTGCATCTAAGATTCCATTAATGGGCAATACCCTTTTCAGGAAAGTAAACACAGCTTTATGCTACTTAGTTTTTAAGAATACTACTTTTCAAATGTGATTAAAATGACAGAGGACAGAGTTCAGCACAGGTTATTCTTAATGTTGAGAATAAATACATGTATATTTAGATCTAAATATAGATTTTATTCATATATTTTTATGAAACTCCAAAATAATGAGTCTAGTTTATCTACATATCCAGAGCTGAGTGTTCTCCCTGGTTGCAACATTGTTGAATTGTTTCTGTTGAAACGGTTATATAGCTACAGTTTAAACATGCATTTTAGTTTCATATCAGCTTTAATTTAATTATTTAGATTTCATATCAAATAAATATAAAAAAAAGAGCAGCTATTTAATTTGTTTATTTTGCCAGTTCCTTACAAACAGTGGATGTAAATGGAGTGGACATTTAGCTGGACAGAAGTCAAATCCTGACACTTTAGCAGGCGGCCGGTAACCCAGTCCAAGTGGGTGCACCAACACCTCCAGGCCAGCAGGCTATTAGAAGGCAGGGGTGGGGGGTGGGGTCTGTGTGTGTGTGTGTGTGTGTGTGTGTGTGTGTGTGTGTGTGTGTGGGGGGGGATCTGGGTGAGGTGTGTGCAATGGGGCACACGCATCGGCAGCGGAGACATTGGGCCGTCACACATGACAACCTGTCAGCCTGTCAGCCCTGACCTGGGCTGCTGGGGGCTGCTGCAGAGAGCTCTGTGGTGCCCCCCCCCCCACCCTACCACAGAGTATGTAGATAAACAGGACTCATTATTTTGGGGTTTCATAAAAAGTCAAATCTATATTAAGATCTAAATATACATGTATTTATTTTCAACATTAATAATAACCTGTGCTGAACTCTGTCCTCTGGCAGTGAGATAGAACTTTTTGATGTCTGAGCTCAAAGACAGCCAGCCCGCTGACCTCTGCCCTCAGCGCCGGAGTGGCCCTCGTCTCTCCTCGTTACGCATCATCCGGAGACGGCCGGCTGTGATGTTGACAGATTGGATGTCCGAGCACATCACAGCAGATTAGACAAGATGTAAATAGTGGAACTTAGATAACATGGTACATGCTGGATCAAGGCCAGATGAATGTGTCATGTGCCACAGAACCTTCAGGAATTGACACCGTTTGATCTGTTCCTCTAAAAACAAGTTTATAAATATGCTGTTGTGCCTATTTAGTTGTATATCACAGCTAGACAAAAGACTGCTGAACTTCTTGGTAACCACAGACAAGCAACACTACTCTCGTCTGGCTCTTGTACTAACAAATGACCCAAAGAAAGGTGCTTCCTAGGATTTTATTGTAGAAGTCAGTCCAGTCAGTTCGTATGTTCCTCCTTAGTGAGACTTCTCCTCACAGACTACAAGATAACTCACCTTTTGGTTCCTGGGAACATTGGGAACCTGGTGTCCTTTTTCTTCATGAACTCAATGATTTTGAGTTCTCTCTTAGCAGGAAGTTCAGGGGCCGAGGGGAAGAGTGCTCGCTGGAGCGCGGCCTCAGAGACGGGCCAGCTGAGCAACTCTGACACACGGAGACTAGGTGTGGTCGTGTGGGAGTGAAGGATTTTAGGAATGGTAAAGGGAAGGTCATTTTGTGAAAGTGATCAAGGCAAAGAGGATTTACAGGGATAATGGAAAAAAAGAAAGACGGCAAGTGAGCATGCAAACACGGAAAGTGAAAACAATAAAAAATCAATAAACTCAAAATCATATCATGGGGGGGGCGGGTAGCTCACATATTGTACCACATATGTGCCTGTGTAACTGGCCCATTTGTCATTTGTTTTCCATCATTTAGTTTTGACAATGAAAAATCGTAAGTTGTGTTCCCATCATAGTCTGTTACCACGGAGACAGTGAAGAACAGCTAATGTGTACCTGTTCCCATGGACATGTGAGGCACAGAAGGCGAAGCTGTAGTGCAGCAGGGTGGGGTCGATCATGGCTCCGTTCTCCGCCCGCACCAGCAGGTCGCTCAGGTAACAGAGATGCCGATGGCAGCCTCGGACGCCGTAGCGAGCGCAGTACTCATCTAGGACGAAGACCTGACCGGGACTGAACCAGCCCTGTGGGTCACACACACACACACACACACACACACACACACAACACACACACACAACACACACACAACACACACACACACACACACACACACACACACACACACACACACACACACACACACACACACACACACAATAAAATAAAACACATCATATATATTATTCTGAAACGGACCAATCTGCACAACGACTAGTACTTTTTTTAACATATGTAACATTAAGCTGTCTGTGGCTCTTTTCCTGCCGTAACGATGCATGTAACTACTTTTACTCTGGTACCTGATCTGAGTACTTCTCCTACCTCTGGTATGAAGGGAATCTCTGCCATGCTTCATTCAGCCCACATTGACAACTGGACTGTGTGTGCAGTGTGTATGTACAGACATTACATCCATGTTCCACAAAGATTCCCAACAATTGTTATTACTTTGCAAAAACGCAATCCAACAACCCTGACCTTTGTGGGCAGTCATTAGTCAGGTCTGTGTGTTCTCTCAGCTGTGACGGACAGAACCTACCAGGCAGGAGTAGGAGTCATTGAGCCTGTGGTCCAGAGTGAGGCGCTGCACCAGCTCAAACAGAGAGCCGTGGTCGAAGTTACAGGGGTTCGCTGAAATGAACTCATCCATGCCGTGCTTCTGTGCCCGATCAGCATCTGTACACATTTAGCCAGCCAATGAGGAGAGACACAGAGGGTGGGGGGTCAGTGCTGGCAGAAAATCAAGAATAAAGTCCACTACTTGCTTTCAACTAACCTAATACAGTTATTTGAGATCTGTTGACATAATACATTTAGTTGAAATCAACGGTTCAGTTTTTTCAGAGGGTGACCTGGGAGTGGACGGTCAGTTCTGAGGTCAGGGGTTGAGTCATGTTGGATGACAAAGGCTACAACTTTAAACATTGCTCCTGCCTTGTTAAACAGGATATTCCATTGATACTAACAGAGCAGTTATATGCACATTATCCCTGAAACTCAAGAGTGACCGAGGTCCTGAACCGCCTCACTCATAATACAATCTAACCCCCACAACACCCAATACCCTCGCCCATTTCTAATGCCACTTCACTGCGGTGTCAGTGGCCCCAGGCCCCTGGTGTGGCCCCTAATTAATCCGTGTGCTGAACATCTCAGAATGAGCGGAGGATGTGGAGGCCCCACACTAATCTTTATTGTGTAGAAAATAGCTGGCTTAATATCATTTAGACAACAGGTTTCTCTGATTTCTTGGCGGCTGATATACTCCCATCAGGGTGCTTAGGGAGGGTTAGAACGTTTTTTTTGGCATGGTTACTGGGGGCTGAAAATCCATGCAAACCTTCAGGCTGGCTCTAATATTCTTTTCTTGGAAACAAAGGGGGGGTTGGTGCACCTGGTCTGTTTCCACTTTATAGGATTTGGGATTTACGTCAATACGTTAGAACATCCTATATAATGACATGTTAATATGCTTATTGCTCTTGCCCAACAACAAAAACTGTGTTTTGGATTTGACACTAAAGACAAGGTATTGTGTTTTGTCATAGCAAGGTAACCCTACACCACACACTAGTCTGCTTATATTACATGTAATCAGACTGCTAGTATTAAGAAACATCAGTACTGAGAGATTAGACTGCTTCAGAAGAAGTGAGGGATGAATAGAACTGAAAACTCATTGCATTTCATGTCAAATAAAAAAAAGATGTTCTGTTGGGCTAGCTGTGTTAAAGTAGATTTTAAGTCCAGTACACGCAAAAACTTCAAATATTTGGAGACCCTGGTACCAACCAGTACTCCTCTCTGTTTCGACCCAGCACAGCTTACTATGGACATTAGTTGGTCATCTTGTATGATCTGATCTGAATGAAATATATTATTTATATAAACACCCATAGTAACAACAGAAAGAGTGTTTTTCAAAAAGAAATATTTTATATAAGTGGTCAAATCTATTTCTCCCAAACAATCAAATATTTTATTTTTGAATGACTGCACAGCTTATTATAGATTCCTATAATCTTTGATCTTGGTGTGGACAGAGTGTCCCGTCAGACCTGGACAGACCTGGGACAGACCTGGACAGACCTTGGACAGACCTGGACAGACCTGGGACAGACCTGGACAGACCTTGGACAGACCTGGACAGACCTGGACAGACCTGGACAGACCTGGGACAGACCTGGACAGACCTGGGACAGACCTGGACAGACCTGGACAGACCTGGGACAGACCTGGACAGACCTGGACAGACCTGGACAGACCTGGGACAGACCTGGACAGACCTGGACAGACCTGGACAGACCTGGACAGACCTGGGACAGACCTGGACAGACCTGGACAGACCTGGACAGACCTGGACAGACCTGGGACAGACCTGGACAGACCTGGACAGACCTGGGGCAGACCTGGACAGACCTGGACAGACCTGGGACAGACCTGGACAGACCTGGGGCAGACCTGGACAGACCTGGACAGACCTGGACAGACCTGGGACAGACCTGGACAGACCTGGACAGACCTGGGGCAGACCTGGACAGACCTGGACAGACCTGGACAGACCTGGACAGACCTGGGACAGATGGTTGAAGGTAACACTGAGATACACAGTCCTCTTCACTGCCCAACGAAGGGACCCCAGCTATCAATCAACAAACAAAACAAAGAGCGGGATGCTGTGAGCTGATTGTGTCCCCTCAACAAGTCCCCCCCACCCTCCCCCAAAAATCTAAAAAGGTGACATTGCGGTGCCCCTTTGGTCTGTGGCTGGTGGCCTGTCAGCTCTGTTTGATGTGAGTGAGCCGGAGTGGAGGCGGGAGCTGGACAGTAACATGCAGTGACACCAGTCACACCCGTCCGTCTGGGCTGGGGAGGGACGGCCCTGACAATGATTGATGGCCGCTATTCTTTACAGATCCAGAGGAGAGGAACCACTGCTGGTCCTGGGTGTGATGGTCAAAAGCATTCGGGGCGATTTAGCACGTGGCTTGCTTTTTCCGTGGACTGACCATGAAACTCATCTTTCTGTTAAAACAGTGAAGATCCTCACTGAGGCCCAACACTCACCTCTGTAACACGCTGCCCACCTACAGTTATCACGAGACACACTTCCTGTTGTGTCAAAGCTTCTCACAGATGTTCAAGCTAAACACAACAAAGAGGACATCAGCAGTGAGCGGTGATATTTGTGTGAGATGTTCTCTTGGCTTAGTTTGAAGGAGCAGCTGAAAGACTATAAAGAGCTGGACTAATAGGAAGGGCAAAATACAGCCTAATCAATAAAAGAGGTTACAATTATATTGTTGTTACTTACTACCTGTTCTGCAATCAGTAACAGATAATCCCACAAATTAGCACACCTTTTCATTTGAACACACACTACCAGTGTACCGTGTACGATGAATAGCATCTACAAAATGTCTCCAAAGTACAAAATAATGATAGTAACAAGTACAACTTTTCTAGGCTATGACCTTCAGTCCTTCTATTCATTAACAAAGTGTTGATAATCAGGGAAGGGAAACTGTTACTTATATATATTGCTATGTATTGCTCTCATTGGAGACTGAATTGCTTTGGCTAGTATGTTTAAAGGAACACTTGATACTTATCATGTTTACTTCAACATTAATCAAACTTTAATTTAATTATTGTTTGAAAACAAAAGTCAGTCCAGTCAATGGCTTCAATCAGCGGGCTTCAATATGTATGATCCCATGTAGTTACAGTATCACTATAATCTTGTTAGCATAACATATGTCAAAACTCATTACACTATCAATCATCATAACAGGGAACAAACAGTGAACTGTGAAGAATCATTTCACCTTTCGGCAGCTGAAAACAAAAGTCTTAATTCTGTCTCTGTTGCTACAATGTTTTAATGTAGTCTATTTTGATGTGCGTCGGGGGGATAGGGGAGGTGGGTGGGGGTGATATGATGTTATATTATTCACCGCACTGATCCAGGTGCGAACTGACAAGTAGTTATTTGGTAACATTGACTGATTGCTGCCTGGTTTAATTGTGCAGCAACCACACTGTATTATTCATTGGCTGGCACTTTAAACTTGGTAATTACCAGCTGCTGGGACTCAGTGGGACTCCAGTGGTTGTGTCAAAAACAGCTCGCTCACTAACTTACCTGACACACATGCACGGAGGAAGCACTTTTTAAATATACTGGGGGTGTTGGTCTGCACCCACTCCTCTAAGTCAGTGATGCTGTATTGTTTATCTTTGGCACCGAACACACTCAGTATTTGTTTTGGGGAAAGTTAAAGATGGCATGAAACTAGTAGCAGTTTGATCACACCTTCATTACACGAGAAATGCTTGTCAAAAGTTGATGTCAGGCTAACATGACACTTTGAAACATTGTAATACATAAAGCAACATTCAAACCTTAAATCGGCCCTATTAAGCTTTTGGGGTCTTCCCTTTCCTGTAGTGTGTGCCCCCCCCCTCAATCTGTTTCATTTGACCTTCATCAAAATGTTATCCCATAACAAGCAGACACATCTGACTGTATCCTCTTTAAATAATGGAATTAATTTGTGAAGCAAATTATATTGTTATCAGTTTTGTTGTAAAATAAAATATACTATAATTTCAAGAGCAACCAATATCAAATCAACATGTACAGCAGTGTATATGTTCAAAAACAGAAATACAGCCCTTTGGAAAATGACAACCTATCCTAAATGAGACAAACTATCGTTGGCATATTTTCTAATAGTGGTAACATGGCAACCATCACATTCTTTTAGAAAATGAACATGCTTTAGTTTGCAGCAATCACAAACATAGAGGTCTCACGGAAAAAACAACATATACAACTTAACCCTGAACTACAATGCAGCACTTTTGAGGACTGATCAATAACACATGGCTCTATTCAATCCCTGCTGGAGTATGCATCAATACTATTACACATGGCGCATGCAAACAACCAATGCGTCTGCATGGATGTTAGTATGTCCTCCCACAGAAACAACAAGCAGGAAGTTATCAAAAGAGGGAAGAGAAAGAAAGGGAGGAAAGCACGTACCCTTTAGGCGCAAACGCTTGCCTCGGGGAGGGAGAAAAAGAGCCACAGCGGAGAATAAACAGAAGGGCAACCATGGCAACCATGCAAGGGAAGTCTTCTTTGCTACTTTTGTGGCAGACTACAGCGCCACTTACAGGCCTGGCATATGTACTACAGCATCTCCAGCGCTTTCGAGCGGCAATGGCCGGCCGTGGCCCAACCTCTCATTCCCCTGATAGGTGGAGAATGGACCAATAGCCGTAGCGCCACTTTACTGACGTCAGGACAGTGCTCAAATCTGGATCAGTCTGTATCAGATCCGTTGCAGCCCCTTTGTTAGAGCTTTGGGTATGGAGGAAAAGAGAGAGGGTTGTGTTTTCTGACACTTGGTGAGTCGGGGACACATATTCATGTATAAAAGATGTACAAAAGTGCATTTTGCATGATAGGTCCCCTTTAAGAAAGTACTCCTAATATCAACTTAGTTACTTGTATAAAAGACACCTGTCCACAGAATCAACCAATCAGATTCCAACCCCTCCACCATGGGCAAGACTAAAGAGCTGTCTAAGGACCTCAGGGACTAGACTGTAGACCTGCACCAGGCTGGGACTGGCTACAAGACCATCAGAGAGCAGCTCGGAGAGAAGGAGACCACTGTTGGTGCCATTATTCAGGAATAGAAGAAAGACTAAATGAGCATCAGTCGCCCTCGCTCTCTGGGGCTTTTCCATGCTGCTATAAAGCCACAATCATTTGATAAGTTGAAAACTTACAGAACTGAGAAATGGGTGCATCCAGCTGTGGAGTTGTGCCCCCCCTGGAGTTGAGTTTCTGGACCTGGGTGGGGGGCACTGGCTTGTGTGACTGGCCGGTGGCCCGGTACATGGCCTGCACCCACAGGATCCGGTCCTGCTCGTCATCACTGGCAAAGATCACAGTGTCACCCTCTTTCACAGCGTTAAAGAACGTCCGGCCGCCATCCAGACCTGAAGATCAGAATCACAAATCCTTTATTAGTCTAGATTGTTACAGCAAAAGTGGCATAGCAGGTAAAAAAGGCATGCAATAACACAGAATAAGCTAATAGGAGAAATGGATCGCACATTCCTGTTTGTAACTCTTTATAAATGTCCAGAGGTGACGCTCTTTAATGTAAATGAATTGTTCAGTATTTATTATTTGAAGGTAGCCATCGGAAGTCTTCTACAAGCAGTATGCAACTGTCTATCAGCCTCCTGAGGACAAAGACCTGTCCTACAATCACAGGGACATGTACAGGACTACATGAAGGATTCATTGTCAATGAGTCACTTGAATCACTTGTTGTTTGATCAGTGTGTCACTGTGAACGGCTGGTATAAAGAGCAGGAGGCTGACTTGTATACAGTGAGTTTACTTCAAACCTCCAGCAGACAGAATCAGAAATATTACTTTTGATAATCACAAAGGTTAAATCAGAAAAGGCATTCCTCTCTCTGTTTCTGTGTTGATGTTGACAATGTGGCAGTGAAGGTTGTGCTGGAGCATCAGTCATCGTTGGAATGACTGTGGGTGTAGGCTGTTACCTGGCTGGGGGTCACAGTAGTCCACAGTGTAGCCATCGAGCTGCAGGAGCTCCACAGGCTCCGCCTTCTTCTCTCTGTAGCTGCACATGGCGAAGGTGTACTGACTCACCTGCACCAATCACAGGGAGAGAAAGGTTCAGGTGATCAGTCAGAAACCAAATTCTAAACGCTGACCTCAAGTAAGAACACCTCATCCTGAGAAAGCATGTGAGCACCAAATGTCATAGCAACCGTTAGTTACGGTTTAAAGTGAGGTGGTGTAATAAAGTAACTAAGTAGATTTACTCAAGTACTGTACTGATGTTATATTTTGAGGTACTTTAGTTGAGTATTTCCATTTTATGCAACTTTGTACTTCTACTCCACTACAATTATTTAATACCTTTAGTTACTTTACAGATTTGGATTAATGAAAGGAAATATAATCAACACTGCATCAACAATTATAATAAAAACATATGATATCAATTCTTCTGAAATGGGCCGATCTGAATAATGAGTACTGTTACTTTTGGTACTTTAAGTATATTTTGATGCTAATACTTTTCTACTTTGACCAATTAATAAGTCATATTTTGACTGCAGGACTTGTACTTGTAACAGAGTATTTATACACTAAAGTACACGATCTGAGTACTTTTCCACCAAGTGTCTAACTACACATAATCATAGGGATATTCAGAACATGTGTTACAGCCACAAAAGGGCGGAGAGAACACCTGATGACTTAGGGAAAAGAGACAGAGAGTGTTCATGGGGAGAGAGAGGGGGGGGGGGGGGTTTGCCAGCTGTTGTTGTTAGTAGACCTCCCAAGCATCTGTATGTGTGTTATTGTAATCACATTACAATAAAGTGAGGTGGCAGAACCATGAGCATTAGTAATGGGTAAAAGGTGTGCGTGGGTGTGTGTGTGTGTGTGTGTGTGTGTGTGTGTGTGTGTGTGTGTGTGTGTGTGTGTGTGTGTGTGTGTGTGTGTGTGTGGTGTGTGTGTGTGTGTGTGTGTGTGTGTGTGTGTGTGTGTGTGTGTGTGTGTGTGTGTGTGTGTATGAATGGGAATGCTAGTGCAGAGCAGAGAGACTGGATGTTCTGCTTCTTTAGTGAACATTCTAATCTGTTGTGTGAATCAAGAGTTGCTCATTTGAGGGTTGAAAAGTATACTGCACATTAATGATTTCAAATGTGTGAAGTTACTTTGAATGACAGATCTTTGCAAGGCTCAGTTTTTCCATGCCAATAGTCCATTCCAAGATGTCAGCTTGATAGGCCAGAGTTATTTAAATGTCCTCTGTAAAAACTACATGTTGACTTTAACACTTAACTAGCAGTTTGATTCACAGCAAAACATCTTTACATCTACAACATGGTGCATAGTTTGATTTGAAACTAGATGAATGAGGCCAACCACAGCCAAATGAAACTGTCCATTCTCTGAATATTGATCAGGTCTTGACAAAGATTGAGGAATCATGTACAGTAATAACATCCGTTGATTGGTGTTTGTTTGCACGTCTTTTCCACAGTGACTCCCCGGCCAGTCATCTAGTTTCCCTGTCAACAAAAACTCCACGGATATTTGAATTGAAGGCTCTCCTTTATTTTCTCAAAGACTTACATTTTTAATGAGTACCCACCTCAGGAAAACGTAATTGTTCTTTTGTGTTACCTGTCCTGGATGAATCCTGTTAATAAAAGGCCAGTACTGACCCTGGTTCAGGTCTTACTGCTCTCTGTGCTGGTAACAGGAAGTGTAGTGACACTCTGCTGCTACAGTAGCTGCCAGTCATAGCAGCCTGTCGTCACGGATCAGCAGGGCCGGCCAATCAGCCGCTGTCGCGCCTCTGCTGCTGCAAGTGGCAGCTCTCACTCTGCTGCAGCTGTGTGTGTGTGTGTGTGTGTGTGTGTGTGTGTGACAAATGAAATTCCCCACAACAGCCCTGATGAGACCTAAGGCCAAGTAAAGGATGGAGGGAAGTAGACCCATTCTCCAGCAGCTCCCTGGCCTCCAGGACACCGCAAAGGCAAATTAGAGTCTAAACTATAGCAACCCCCCCACCACCAACCCCACCCCGCCACCCATACCCCAAAACACCAGCTCTCTCTCTCTCTCTCTCTCTCTCTCTCTCTCTCGCTCTCTCTCTCTCTCTCTCTCTCTCTCTCTCTCGCTCTCTCTCTCTCTCTCTCTCTCTCTCTCCTCTCTCTCTCTCTCTCTCTCTCTCTCTCCATCGGGGAAATATGCTGATGGAGGAGGAGGAGGAGGAGGAGGAGGAGGAGGAGGAGGAGGAGGAGGAGGAGGAGGAGGAGGAGGAGGAGGAGGAGGAGGAGGAGGAGGAGGAGGAGGAGGAGGAGGAGATTTAAGGACAGATAGGAAGTGTGGAGGATGAGGAAGGGTGAGATGAGTTATTTAAATGTCCTCTGTAAAAACTACATGTTGACATTCACCCAGCAAAACATCTTTACATCTACAACATGGTGCATAGTTTGATTTGAAACTAGATGAATGAGGCCAACCACAGCCAGATGAAACTGTCCATTCTCTGAATATTGATCGAGGAATCATGTAATAACATCCGTTGATTGGTGTTTGTTTGTACGTCTGTATGTGTATCTTGGTTGTAACATCACACACTGACACCTGCACGGTTAAGCATTATTCAGTGAATATCCTGAGTTGTCTTTCCTCTGAAACATGGTGAGCAAGATGTTTTCCTGCAAGTAGGCCTCATGTAGAGAGGCCTATAGGGAAGAGATAAGCTCAAAATAAGAGAATGGTAAAATGAACATATAAGCATATATTTGTATTCAGTGGATTTCTACAAGTCAGTGGCATCTGGATCGTCAGGTCAGCCTCTGCACTGGAACCACTGGCCCAAGAATCCTGCTTCACAATGGTTTTAGATTTAGGGTAATATGTTTAGTATATTTCTTGCAGAAAGAAGGATATTTGTTTTTTGCTTAAAAAATATATTTGTTGAGTTATTGAAATGCATCTAGCTTGAATGTACAAAAAAGTCACCCAAAAAAGGTCTAAAGAAGGAGAGGGATGTTGCCCACTGTAGACAAACCAACACAGGGCGCAAATTATGGATTTTAAAATGTTGAAAGATTTTTTTTTTTAAATAAAATAATAAGTAAAGGTATTATCTCGACAAAAGATGTAATAGAAGACTTTAAAGGTGTTTCATTTTCACATTTAAACATGAAATACATAACGCAGTAGTTCTATTCCCTTCCTGTGGCACTGATGTGGGATCACTGGATCATTTCTGATAAGAAGAGGAAAGGACAAGTTGTCTATCATATGTATCTGTATAATATTAAACAGTTATTTCATTTGTACTATACATAGTAAGAAATTAGAGACGTGAACGTCCTGATAAGTACTGTAGTTCTACTGTATCTGTTTGTAGTTCTACTGCATCTGTTTGTAGTTCTACTGTATCTGTTTGTAGTTCTACTGTATCTGTTTGTAGTTCTACTATCTGTTTGTAGTTCTACTGCATCTGTTTGTAGTTCTACTGTATCTGTTTGTAGTTCTACTGTATCTGTTTGTAGTTCTACTGTATCTGTTTGTAGTTCTACTGCATCTGTTTGTAGTTCTACTGCATCTGTTTGTAGTTCTACTGCATCTGTTTGTAGTTCTACTGTATCTGTTTGTAGTTCTACTGTATCTGTTTGTAGTTCTACTGTATCTGTTTGTAGTTCTACTGCATCTGTTTGTAGTTCTACTGTATCTGTTTGTAGTTCTACTGTATCTGTTTGTAGTTCTACTGCATCTGTTTGTAGTTCTACTGTATCTGTTTGTAGTTCTACTGTATCTGTTTGTAGTTCTACTGTATCTGTTTGTAGTTCTACTGTATCTGTTTGTAGTTCTACTGCATCTGTTTGTATTTCTACTGCATCTGTTTGTTGTTCTACTGCATCTGTTTGTAGTTCTACTGTATCTGTTTGTAGTTCTACTGTATCTGTTTGTAGTTATACTGCATCTGTTTGTAGTTCTACTGTATCTGTTTGTAGTTCTACTGCATCTGTTTGTAGTTCTACTGTATCTGTTTGTAGTTCTACTGTATATGTTTGTAGTTCTACTGTATCTGTTTGTAGTTCTACTGTATCTGTTTGTAGTTCTACTGCATCTGTTTGTAGTTCTACTGTATCTGTTTGTAGTTCTACTGTATCTGTTTGTAGTTCTACTGCATCTGTTTGTAGTTCTACTGTATCTGTTTGTAGTTCTACTGTATCTGTTTGTAGTTCTACTGTATCTGTTTGTAGTTCTACTGCATCTGTTTGTAGTTCTACTGCATCTGTTTGTATTTCTACTGTATCTGTTTGTAGTTCTACTGCATCTGTTTGTATTTCTACTGTATCTGTTTGTAGTTCTACTGTATCTGTTTGTAGTTCTACTGTATCTGTTTGTAGTTCTACTGTATCTGTTTGTAGTTCTACTGCATCTGTTTGTAGTTCTACTGTATCTGTTTGTAGTTCTACTGCATCTGTTTGTAGTTCTAATGTATCTGTTTGTAGTTATACTGCGTCTGTTTGTAGTTCTACTGTATCTGTTTGTAGTTCTACTGTATCTGTTTGTAGTTCTACTTTCTACTGTATCTGTTTGTAGTTCTACTGTATCTGTTTGTAGTTCTACTGTATCTGTTTGTAGTTCTACTGCATCTGTTTGTAGTTCTACTGTATCTGTTTGTAGTTCTACTGCATCTGTTTGTATTTCTACTGTATCTGTTTGTAGTTCTACTGCATCTGTTTGTATTTCTACTGCATCTGTTTGTAGTTCTACTGCATCTGTTTGTAGTTCTACTGCATCTGTTTGTAGTTCTACTGTATCTGTTTGTAGTTCTACTGCATCTGTTTGTAGTTCTACTGTATCTGTTTTGTCGTTCTACTGCTATCTGTTTGTAGTTCTACTGTCATCTGTTTGTAGTTCTACTGCATCTGTTTGTAGTCTACTGTAGTTCTACTGCATCTGTTTGTAGTTCTACTGTATCTGTTTGTAGTTCTACTGTATCTGTTTGTAGTTCTACTGTATCTGTTTGTAGTTCTACTGCATCTGTTTGTAGTTCTACTGTATCTGTTTGTAGTTCTACTGCATCTGTTTGTAGTTCTACTGTATCTGTTTGTAGTTCTACTGTATCTGTTTGTAGTTCTACTGTATCTGTTTGTAGTTCTACTGTATCTGTTTGTAGTTCTACTGTATCTGTTTGTAGTTCTACTGTATCTGTTTGTAGTTCTACTGTATCTGTTTGTAGTTCTACTGTATCTGTTTGTAGTTCTACTGCATCTGTTTGTAGTTCTACTGTATCTGTTTGTATTTCTACTGCATATGTTTGTAGTTCTACTGCATCTGTTTGTAGTTCTACTGTATCTGTTTGTATTTCTACTGCATTTCTATTCTTTCATTTTCTAGAAGTTACAGTGTAGGGGAATGTATATAATTATTTTCTGCAAAACAATCTTTGAATATAATGCATCTGAAACAATCAGTTTCTAACCAAATCTATAATCTGAGGGAAAAGCCAGAATGAAAATGAAATCAAATATGTAGTGATAAAGGCAGACATGGTAAGGTCAGTCAGTACTAACTGACTGACTTTGCATGAGCGAACAGAGAAGAAAGAAATATGATGTCTAACATGCAACAAAAAGTACATGTGCACACACACACACACACACACACACACACACACACACACACACACACGAGTGCGCAGTCTATTGACCAGTATTTGTCACTTGCTATATATTTAGCTGGGAGCGAGAGGGAGTTGGAGTTGGCGGCGCTCGGGCTTTTCTAGCTGCGAGTGTAAAGCCAGCCAGTGTTCACTCCACTTTGTCAATCCCCTGTCAACTTGTAGCTCTGAGACATATCCTCTGCAACACACAAGAGACAGGCCCCCCCCTCCACCCACATCCCTGCCTGCTGCCCACCTCCAAATACTGAGCCACCAGGAAATGGCCGCTACCGCTACCGCCCCCACCCCCACCACCCAGCCTACTGACAAAAGCCTGCTTGGCGTCTCCATCATCCTCCTGACAGCCGAGGGAAGACAGCTTGGCTGCATCTCTCTTCCCCGCTGCACACACAACATGTGGCCAACACTCAGGATACTGCGGCTCCTCTTTTGGCTGTGATCACATTTTTGTCACTCGCCCTGCTTTCACTTCAAATTGGATTTTGAGGTTTTGAAAGTATGAAAGAGATAAAAGACCAAGGAAAGTCTTGTATTTGTTCAGAAGCATTCCACAAGCTGATATATTATTGGTACTATGAGTATTCATGTATCACACTCCATTGCACCTTCTCTATCTTTTATATATAAACATATCAAAACGTATGTCATGTAGTTCTTTTCAGTTTGACAGACTTCCATGAGCATAAAGGTCCGGCCTCCTGCCTGTGAGCCGGATGGACCTCTGACTCTATGGGTCTCCATCGGTAAGCAGCTAAACAACATAATAGCTGCACATATCACAACATACTATATCAAATATCAATCTCTCTGAACTAGATCCTGCTATGGTATATATCATTCTTTCTAAACCATTTGAACAGGGTTTTGTAGATTTCAGTGCCTGTTATCTGCAGAATATTTTCTTAATCTCACTTTAAAGTCTCACATTTATAATAAACTGAGTGGTACAATTTCCAAAAATAAGAATATGTATTCATTATAACTAAGTATAATTACTAAGCCAATATAAGGCTGCAACTAAAACATTTAGTTTAGTTTAGGTTCATCTTGTGTTAAAAACCTCATATATATATATTCAATTTAATATTACAAAAAGAAGAAAATGTCTTCCCTATTTTTTGCTTTAAGTATTACTTAAAAAAGAATGATCAAAATAGTAACAAATTACTGTTCTTTCACCTGACTAATTTAAAACAAATGACCTCTGCAAAATGCATATCTGAACAACATGTATATCTCAGCGTGCATGCTATCTTCTTTATGCTACAAATGGTTTGCATTCAAACATTGCTACATTTTAAAATAAATCAATAATATTTATTAAAAAATTAAATGAAATTAATATGTGAAGATATCAGTGTTTTGAGTGTCCATCAGCCCCATGGTAACACCTCTCATGAAGCGGTGTGTGTGTGTGTGTGTGTGTGTGTGTGTGTGTGTGTGTGTGTGTGTGTGTGTGTGTGTGTGTGTGTGTGTGTGTGTGTGTGTGTGTGTGTGTGTGTGTGTGTGTGTGTGTGTGTGTGTGTGTGTGTGTGTACAGTTCCTCTCATGAAGCGGCTGCCTGCAGACTGTAGTGCTGCCTCTGCCCGTTAAACACTCTGATCCACTGTTGCATCTTGTAGGAACCACTAAAGGGAGCTTACCTGCACCAGTACGAAGAATCTTTTCTTCCATCTTTTCCACACATTTTTGCCAATGGTCCAAAGGTACCTGTGAAATCAAACAAATACAAAAAAAAACTAAATTAGAAAGAAAAAATGTTCACATAGATTTCTTATTGTGGCCTTATTTCAGCTGTCAATGAAACCGATTGTTAGCCATGCCTATGAAAAGATACGTAGAGTGGTGCCTCTCTGACATCTGCTGGTCAAATGTCATTACTGCAATCAGACACATCACGTTTAGGTATTTCCTCCCAGCTACAGCTCATTGATTTTCATTAGTATTTTGTGTCGAGATGACAGACCTACGTTCAAATAAGTACATTTCATAAAAGGAAAACTAAATATTGAAGTGACAGCAAGAATGTCACTGTTAGGCTGCATGGCCACATTACTGGATCTAAATGGAATGCAGCCATCATTAATGTTATATTGTAACCCAATCACAAAATATCAGCCTCATGAACTGGAGAGTGAAGGCTCTGAAGAACAGATGAAGTCACACCAAATGGAAAAGAGCTCTAAACTCAGGGCTGTATACAATGTGCACATGCTCATGGAGCTGTTGCACAGAAGTGTAACTGAATTGAAACAAAGCTGTCGTTTTGTACGTTTCTTTTAGGTAAACTGATGAATGATCATAAACAGAGGTCAGTCGCTGCTTCCTAATTTATATTGTGCAGTATTTTGAAAATCATTCACAATATTTTGATAACAATAACCATCATAGTCGTTTTAGGGATAATTAAGTGACAACAATAAGTGATGTTGATATGAGGACTTAGGCAGAAGCATTCATTAAGTGAGAACAGATGTACTTAATCTAGCGATATGAAAGTGCTAATATGTAACCCATGAGTCATATTGCTGGCATATTGTCCAAATAGGTTAAAGAAAAGACACAAGTTACTTTGCTAATGAGATGTCTGGGCGGCTGTAACTTAGCCTTTCAGTTCTTAGCTTGGAAACTGGAGGGTCCCTGGTTCAAGTCCCCGAACAGACCAAGCAGGGAGTGTGGACTGGTACTTTGAGAGGTGCCAGTTCACCTCCTGGGCACTGCTGGGGGGCCCTTCAGCAATACACCGGACCCCCACAGTGCTCGCCGGGAGGTGCATAGTAGCTGCTCACTGCTCCTCATATGACGGGTAAAATGCACAGTCACAGTATGTGATGATTAAAAGATCCTCCATCTGTAAAGTATGTATCTACATCTGCAACCCGCAGGTATGAGTTCTTCTAATCCAAAACACATTGTTTATGGTTAATCATTTTAGATTTGTTGAAATATTTTAAAAACTGTCAACATCAATTCAGCATTTATGTATCACTGAAAACCTTGACATCTCAACTCTGTTTAAAAATAAAAGTTACAACAACAATATAGAGGTGTAGCATTAACAAAAACTTTGTAAAAATGTTGACGCCAACTACAGAGAAGTACATCAGGCATGCATCAGGGATATTTTCACTTCAGCCCAATGCCTGTCACTTTCCTCCCTTCAGACAGACTGTACAGCTCAGTGCAGCAGTCCTCACAGATCTCCTCTGCTCTTCCTCCAGCTGAGCCCGTCTCCTCCTCAGCCTGTGTGGAGTTCAGTGTTGAGAAGGACGGGGAAAGGGCTTTTGTTGTAAAAGAACATCTGAGGGTGAGGACCCCGGTTTGATTTGCCTCTGTTCTCCCACCAGCCCCCCTCCCCCCCTCGGTGTGCCTCAGTGTGCCTTTCCCCCCGGCCCCTCCCTGAGCTGCTCCTGCCTGTCGTCCTAAATAAACCAGCATCCACAGGCTGACACATGAGGGCCCTGCATGTGTGGAAGCAGAGAGAGGGGCCAGTAATGGTGCAGCAAGGCACTGTGGGAATCTAACAGGCAGCCCAGCAGCCTCCTCCAAGGCTCCCAAAAGAAAGCATATGGAGGGGGGGGCAGACAGGAGAGGCTGTAGCTCACAGCTACAGACTTAGGAGCATGTTTTTTAAAGCAGTAAGTGTGTGCACAATAAAGAACACAGCCTCCTGACAAATGGCTGGAATTTATTTTCCAGTACGGACCGCCACTGCATGCCAACAGTCATTACATTCACTCTATTGCAAATGCTTTCCAAGGTTATTATTATAGTTGCTGCTTGCTCAACTGTATACGTGCATACGCTGGCAGCAGGGACATGCACAGACATGTTGGGGGGCGGGAGCTCAAGTGAGAAAAAGGGCACTTCCCATAATCATTTATAAAAAAATGTTTTAAAACAAAAAGTTAAATATAGTTGCACATCTCTGACTTACTGACCATCCAACCATCTTCTCCCGCTTATCCGTGGTCGGGTCGCGGGGGTAGCAGTTCCAGCAGAGAGCCCCAAACTTTCTTTTCCCTGGCCACATCAACCAGCTCTGACTGGGGGATCCCAAGGCGCTCCCAGGCCAGCGAAGAGATATAATCCCTCCACCTGGTCCTAGGTCTACCCCTTGGTCTCTTCCCAGCTGGACGTGCCTGGAACACCTCCCTAGGGAGGCGCCCAGGTGGCATCCTAACTAGGTGCCCGAACCACCTCAACTGGCTCCTTTCGACGCGAAAGAGTCCTGTATGGGGCTCCTGAAGGGGACTCTTTAATCTTGCTGTGAGACTTCAACGCACATGTGGGCAATGATGGAGACACTTGGAGGGGCGTGATTGGGAGGAACGGCCCCCCTGATCTGAACCGGAGTGGTGGTTTGTTCCTGGACTTCTGTGCTAGTCATGGATTGGCCATAACAAACACCATGTTCGAACATAAGGATGCTCATAAGTGTACGTGGTACCAGAGCACCCTAGGCAGAAGGTCCATGATCAATTTCGTTATCGTATCATCAGACCTGAGGCCGTATGTATTGGACACTCGGGTAAAGAGAGGGGCAGAGTTGTCAACTGATCACCATCTGGTGGTGAGTTGGGTCGAGTGGCGGGGGAAGCCTCTGGACAGACCTGGTAAGCCCAAAGGTGTAGTTCGGGTGAACTGGGAACGTCTGGAGGAGGCCCAAGTTCAGGAGGCCTTCAACTCACACCTCCGGCGGAGCTTTTTGGGCATTACTGTGGAGGTTGGGGACATTGAACCAGAGTGGTCGGTGTTCAAAGCCTCTATTGCCGAAGCCGCGGCGGGGAGCTGTGGTCTCAAGGTCCTAAGTGCCTCAGGGAGCGGTAACCCTCGAACCTCCTGGTGGACACCGGTGGTCAGGGAAGCCGTCCGACTGAAGAAGGAGGCCTTCAGGAATTTGTTTTCCCGAGGGACTCCCGAGGCAGTTGCAAGGTACCGACAGGCCCGAAGGGCAGCAGCCTCATCCGTGGCCGAGGCAAAGCAGCGGGGTGTGGGAGAAGTTCGGAGAAGACATGGAAAAGGACTTTCGGGCGGCACCAAAGTTGTTCTGGAAAACTGTCCGACACCTCAGGAGGGGGAAGCAGGGAACCATCCAAGCTGTGTACAGTAAGGATGGGACGTTGTTGACATCAACTTACTGACCAATTTATTTTAATTCCCTCACACTCACGCACTTGTTTAATACTCAACAGAATTCTATAAAATAATCAGCTGTTATGAACTGAGACACAGGACCCAAAAGCAGGACTCGGAGACAGTTGTCCAAAAATATAATGTTGTTTAATAACAAAAAACTAAGTCGTACTTTCCAAAAATAGAAAGTAGTTAAATAACAAAAACTAAGTCGTACTTCAAAACAAAACTCACTCACTTTCTCAAAGTAAAGTTTCAGGAGTCAAAAAGCCCAGGTTCTCACGACATGAAACATAACGAACTGACATGGGACAAAGAAACACAAGGGCTATTTATAGGTGAGGAGGATGGGCACAGGTGAAAACTATCAGCACAGGGCCAAGCAATCTGAAGGGTGGGAAACACACAAAGGCAGGAAATGTGGGATCTGGAATGAGAGGGAAGGATTACTTTCAAAATAAAAACAGGAAGTGACAAGATCAAAACACAAGAGTAAGAAACATAACTTAACCTAACATACTGTAACTGTCGAGTCACAACATCAGCTAACACAGAGACAATGGTCTTCTTTAGTATTCACTACGCACAAGAGGAGACAACAGACTAGTACAATTAATAGTTATTAAATGAGCAGCCAACAATCAACGTGATGAAGTTACTGTTTAAGGACACTACAGGCACAAAGATTGTTTTTTCATGTAGGGGAGAGTGGGGTAAGTTGAGCTGTCCTCTAAGCAAGGAGAGATATATCCAGTCTCTGATTGTGTTACGTTATTATGAGAGTGCTCTCATACTTGTTTGATTCTGAAATTGTATATATTTATATAAATATGTGTGTGTGTATATGTCCGCATCTGTAGCCTGTTATTGTCTCATTATACCGCACTGTGAATGAATTAAAAGTAAATATATAAGTGGTCATGAACACATCAGTCCATCAGGCTGCTGTGCCTCCTGTCATCATTAATGGACGTCTCTTTAAAATGACCGCTCAGAGGAGAGGAGTTCTCATTTCTCTAACCGTCTGCTGCTTCCCCTCCTCTCTCCTCGGCTCCCCTCCTCTCTCCTCGGTTCCCCTCCTCTCTCCTCGCTTCCCCTCCTCTCTCCTCGGTTCCCCTCCTCAGTCCTCCGCTCGCATCTCCTGTGGGCGGGACTAAGTCTCGAGGATAGGAGTCGAGGAGGGGAAATTAGAGTATTGAGAAACCTCTACAGTCTAATCTCCCGACCTGATATTTTGTATTCAATCAATATATTTTTGGAAAGGGAAACTGTGCGCAAACAGCAGTAGATATATATTCATTTATTTAAAAAAATAAAAAAGGGGAAAAAAGGGTACTTTTTCTGGAGGAAGAAAAAGGGCAGGGGCTCAAGCCCACTTTGATGTCTCTAGAGCAGGGGTTCTCAAAGTGCGGCCCGCGGGCCAATGGCGGCCCTCGGAAATGTTTCTGGCGGCCCGCGATAGTTAATGTGACACGCTGAAATGCATGCGTTATATTTTAATCCTCCATGGTTGTATCTAGTAAGAATTAGAATGAGTAGCTTTCCAGCGGTATCTCCTGTGAGACTGTAACCAG